ACGGAGTCCCTTGAAGGGCTGGTGCATGAGCTTCACCCAGAGGTTCAGCAGTTTCCAGCGTGTCAGGCTTTCTGCGATAACCTTGCATCCATCTCAATCGCTTCTTTTGAAAGTGGCAATTGGCGCACGCGCCACCTGCGGGTTCGGTCTCAAGCCCTCCGGGAAAGGCTCCAGTCTGGAAAGTGGCACCTGTCGCACTTAAAAGGAGAACACATGCTGGCAGATATTGCCACGAAAGTGCTGCCTTGGACTCGTGTCAGAGACCTCTTGCTTTTGTGCGGGTACGATGTGCCAAAGGTTAAGGCCCCTGTTGCGAAACTAAACCTTTTGAGGCAGGCGTTGGCGCTGCTTGTTGTCGGTTCGCTGCCTGTTCAGGCTCAGGGCAAGGGAGGAGTTGAAGGATCGACGCAGGATGACTGGAGCAGCTGGTGGCTTTCAATAGTTCCGGTTCTTGTGGTTGCAATAGGGATTTTTCTGCTTTGTGCTGTGGGAAGGTTCTTTAGCACACGACGCACTGAGCCAGTCGAAGATGGCCTTGAGCAGCCAGAGCTTGAACCCATTCCGCTTTCCGAGCAAATCCCGCAGCCTATAGTCATTGCTGACTACGATGATGGACTGCGTTGCCGTGGCAGAGGTGCCAGGCCAAGGCGAGTTAGCACTGGTGCAGGCCCAGACGTGCAGTTTTCTCCGTGGGCCCTCCTGCCTGGAGCACCAGAGCAACGTAGCCCCACGGTTGAACCTCCCCCGCTGCGAAGGAACACCAACCGGATTGAAATTCCTAACTTTTTTGATCTTGGGGACCCTAATAGCTGGGAAAACTTCATTGATCGCGTGTTAAGAAGCAGCCTGGTTGTTGACATGCAAGGAACTGTCGCACTCGAGCTTCCACCCGAGGCCCCGAGAAATCATCCTGTAGTAGTTGTTCCTGAGGCCCTTCCCTACGAGCCGGAACCTCAATCCCCGCGTAGTGATGCAGAGTCTTCTTCGATACAGTCTGGTCGGTCAGCTGAGTATTATGACCGCGGAGCGCGGCGAGATTTCGAGCTGTATATGGCAACGAGATCAGACTCCAGCTCGTCATCTGGAACTCCTCCGCACTGGGTTCAAGGGGTTGGGATAGTTCCTGCTGCTGAGTATAGGGCTAGGTATGACCCTACTTACCCCCACCGTGACCAGATCAATAGGCATGGAATCGATGTAGTCCCTGGACCCGAACAGCTGTACCGCCAGTATGAAGAGATGCGTGAGGCAGGTCTCTATCCTGACTTGCCAACTCTAACACCCTGGGCTGCAGGTACCAATGAGGCTGCTAGCTCCTCTGATGCTGTGGTGAGGTATGTTGATGACGTTGCGGTCTTAAGATCAACAAGATTTCCTCCGCTTGCGACTGACAGTGAGATTGAAGAGGCTGATGAAGAAATAAATCATGCTATCGCTTCAGCTGCAGCGTTTCTGATTAGGAATGGCATTGAAGTGCCACTTGAACAGTTGTCAGATGCTCAACAACATATCTTTTACACGAACGAGGGCTTTCGCCTCGAGCGCATGCACCAGGATGGAGTCCCTGAGGTGGATTGAAGTAAGGTGCTCTAGGCGTGGTTTTTAGGGGTCGTTTTGTCATACGTCCTTAAAGGTGTGGCTTGTGGGTCTTAGTTTGTTAGGCGTGCCAGTCTCGCGGATATCTGCTTGAGACATGCTAATCCTTTCTGACCCTTGGAGTACAGTATCGGCTCATCTTTGGATTTTTGACGATTTTCTTAGCTTCCGGTTGTAAGTCCGGTTTGGGTCAGGTTCTCAGGTTGTGTAGCTTGCAGATTGGTGAAGAGCCGTGCTTCTGCAAAACCGTGCAGGGGATTACATGTCCCATCTTTTGCAAGCACTGTGAAGCCTTGCGCCGTTTGTTGTGCAACCACAGTCCTTTTCCTCAGAAACTGAGGAGCGTCTTGAGCCTTACTTGGGCTACACTCCTTTGCACTCCTCCACTTGGACTTCTCTCCACCCTTTTCCGAGGGCCCTTTGGACTTCAGCTGCTTAAGTGTGGTTGGGTTGTTGGGGTTTGGTGGTGTTTTGGCGAACGCCAAAAGGGGGAGCGCAGATGTGTATGTCCCTGCCCCTGCTGCAAGGATGACACGCTTGACTCCGCAGGTGCATGGCCCCTGCAGCAAGGAAGACAGTCAGGCACGTACAGAAGACGTTTTTTAAATCGAGAAGTGTACCAAGTTAGATCTTATTCGCTTTCGCTTCTGCTGCTAAAACAGTTGGCTGGCCCTCGTACTCGAGCCCTCATAGACCCCTTACTGTAATCCTGAACCCCTAAACCCCTCAACCCCAAAACCCCTAAACCCTCCCAAACCCTAAACCCTAAACCGACGTGGAGCCGGGGAAAAGCGGCCCCCCCCCGGATCCTTTCAAGGACACAAAGAGCAGGGTTTAGGGTTAGGGCTTTCGGCTTTAGGTTTTGGGGTCCTTGGGCATTTAGCCCTGTCTTGCCGCATATACTTTACTTGTCGGATGTCCTTTCAGCAGGTTACAATCCCACAGATCCTTGAAAGGGCCATGGTCTTCTTTTTAAGCAGATCGACACGTCGATTCTAATTACCTGTCCGTGGATTTACGAGCCCACACCTACGCCTACGCGTTTTCGCGGCTCGGGACCACTTTCACTCTTCAGACTTGGCATCAGGTTGAGGGATTGGGGTGTAGGCTTGAGGGTTCAACAGTTCAAGGTTTCTGTTGCCGAGCTTCTGATGGAAGCCATTGCCCATGTTCCCGGCGACTTGAGTTTGGGATGGGGGGCTTAGGGTTTAGCGTTAAGGGCGCTGGTGTAGAGCCAGGCGTAGGTGGGCTCGTTGCTGATCCCATGAAAATCCGGCCGAACTGGCCGAACCTCGATGCCAGGGTGTGATTTCATGGGCAGGGTATAACAAATATATAAATAAATAAAATATATATATATATATATATATATATATATATATATGTATATGTATATGTATATATATGCATATATTTATATATCTATATATCTATATATATATATATATATATGCATATATATAAGCATTTTCTGTCAGTTCTAGCAGTAGCTGGGTAGGTAGCCTTTATTAGTTAGAAAGCCCGCAAATCATCAGGCCCCATAAGTTATGCAACCGAAAGCCTACCGTTTTGGGTTTAGGGTTTAGGGAGCCGAAACCCTAAACCAGAAGGATTACCAGCTTCGTACCAGCGAAAGAGTTTGAAGTTTCCATTTTGGAGCTCATGGTCCCACCTGTGTCAGGTTTAGGGCAGAACAAAGCAGCCTGAGTAAGTAGAAATAGCTTTTAAGAAGGTTCCTATAAATATACTCATATGCTATATGCGTTTATATGTATATACCACAACATAACCAACGCCGAGACCAAAACCTCGTTCTAATTATCGAGGCGTTTTTCGGGAATTAGGAGATTGGAGGCTGTTGGTTAGGTTCGGAGCTGTGGGACTAGGCGAGGTTCCGGAAAGGGCAGATGCCTCTGGATACTCCTGGAAGATGCTGTGTGTGTGAATCGTGGGGTTTCGAGCTTCCTAAACTCCCAAGCCTACACCCTGAACCCCAAACTCCAGCTTGCCAGTCCATGCTTTTTGCTTAGTTCCGCCTAGAAGGCTGCGAACATTGAGTTCCCAGAGCCGTTAATCACAAGCTTATCAACACAAATCCCGAGCCCGGCATCATCGCCGGCATCAGTGTGCACGGATTTCGGATTTAAAGCAGCGTGGTAGTTTTCTTCATGATTTTGTTGTTGCTGTCTCCCAAGCCCACAAAAATCTGTGCCTGAAAGGAACGCTTTACAAACTACTGTAGTCGCGTTCAATCACCAAGACCCGAAAACTACCAGCAGGCTCCCAGAGACAGTTGAGTCGCTCTGGAGGGGCCGTCACCTTCCTCGGGCTGGCCTCACGGCTCAGGAGGTGGTTGGACTCCCTAAGGGTCCAAGTACCCCTACCACCAACACCCATTCAGAGTATGGAGCGTGGGGTCCAAAACCCTAACCCCGAAGCCTAAATCCTAAAACTCCCACTGCTTGAGTACTCGGACCCTCTGGGACCATATCTTTGGAGTCTGCTTCGGATCATCGGCTGCTACACATTTCACGCGTGCTCATGCGCCGTAATGCCTGCAGAGGCAGGAAGCTTTGTAAAGCTTTCGATGTTTCAAGTCTTGTGAGCATCGCACGGCTTTGAAGAAGGCCGTGCAGACTGTCTACATCCCTCGGCTTTGAAGCAGAAGCTGCGAAAACAGAACATGAGACTGAACCCCGTGGCCACCCTCATTCGGAGTTCCCTTTGACAGGCTGTTAGTAATAAGGAACCCTAAGGAACAGTATTTTCGATGGTTCTTGATTCTACATTACCTGCAGACTGGCTTCATATCTGACCTCTGCTTACACCATGCGACCTGAAGTGCTGCACCTGACCCGACCCCAGAGTGGCTTTACTTGCTAGTGGATGGTCTAAGCTTTGCCCCTTCGAAGTTAAAGGGTTTGGGATTTAGGTCTCAGGAGCCGGGCTTTAGGTCTTGCTTGGGCTTTCGGGTTTAGAGCTCGCAGTGCTTCAGGCTTTTTCTAGAAGCAGAGACCCGGTAGGAGTTCGGAGCTTACACGCCCTACAGTTTTAGTCTGCCGTAACTTCGTGTCAGTGTGGTCGGATCTGGAGTCAAGGTTTACAGTTTAGGGGTTTGGTTTCGGGTTGTGCTGCTAGGGTCAAGGGTTCAGTCTTTGGGATATGGTAGCGGAGAGGTCTAGGCATGTTGGAGGTTTTGCGCGACTGTTCCGGATCGTTGGTCTTGCGATCTGGTGCTTTCTTCGGTAAAGCAAGTCGCCTGAAGCCTGAGTCCCGAACTCACGAAGCCCTTGAAGAGAAACCCCAAACCACAAACCTTAAGAGCGCAAGGTCCAGAGCACCAACAAAAAGCCACAAATGCAACCCTGAAGTTTTAGGGTTTCGTTGAAGCTATGGGGCCTGAGGAACTGTCGGAACTGCAGACATGACGAGCGGCTCGCTCAGAGCGTATCCTTTTAGCGACGAAGCAAAAGATGTACACTGCTTGGAGTTCTGATGACTGCTGCTGTACGATAAAGAGCTTGCCAACACTTCACATACAGACCATGTGTGGCGATTGCCTCCTTGCAGTGCATCATTGCCACATTGTGTTGTTTCCGTAGCCTTCCCCCGAAGCCAAGATTCAACCGGCTGCATGCCTGGATAGGCTTGCTGACGCAGGTTCAGGGTTCATATCCTATCATATTATATCGAATTGGGCCTCATCATCATTATGTTATATGATTAGGGTTATCCAAAATTGCAAGCAAAGGCCTCGATGATTTCACGGTGTACCTCATCATGGCAGGCCAGGGATTGCTATTGGCACTGGCACGGCGTACTTAACGGGATAAGGGGGCTCTGTGTGTAGGGATTTGAAGACGGTGGGTATCTATACCGTTCTATCTACAGTGAAAACCCTGTATAAGAACCCCGTTCGGCGAGAGTAGGGTACCCTAAGGTTCTTAATTTCCATTACATGTGATTTTGCCGTTCGAGCAGCTAGGGTAGGCTCAGGTTCTTAACCACGTTCTTATCCGGACCGAGGTCTCGGGAAATTTTACTTTTGGATTCAAAATTTCCTCTTGGGGGTGGATGGGCCATGGGGGGTCTGGAAAATTTAGTTTTCAATTCTAAATTTCCACAGCTCCTCGAAAGGACTCGGGGCAGAGGGCATGGCCAGAGACCCCCCAGAAAATTTACTTTTGGATTCTAAATTTCCGTGGGGGTGGATGGGCCATGGGGGTCTGGAAAATTTAGTTCTCAATTCTAAATTTCCACAGCTCCTCGAAAGGACTCAGGGCAGAGGGCATGGCCAGAGACCCCCCGAAAATTTACTTTTGGATTCTAAATTTCCGTGGGGGCGGATGGGCCATGGGTGTGGCTTGGGCCGGGACCAGGACGCTGGTGGGAAAATTTAGATTTCAATTCTAAATTTCCACAGTTTGGTGGCAAGGGGCTCTGTTTCAGTGGAATACGAGCTGCGGGCAGCCGCAGCAGCATGACACCCCCGGGGATCGAAACAAGGCCAAACCCCTATAGGGCCTATGCCAAACCACTGCGCTGTGGGGGAGCTGATTTGCCTTTTGTTTCCTCCCCACCTCTGGGCGTTGGTGTTTTTTGTGGTTTGGAGAACGCGGAAATTTACTTTCGGATTCTAAATTTCCTGACGCCGTTTGTGCGGGTCAGAGGCCACAGGGTTATAAGCGCCGTAATTGGGGTTATTGCTTACCCAAAGTATAACTTTAGTTACTAAGTCCCATGAAACTCTAAGTATTTTTTAAATTTGATGTCTCGAAGTTCCCTTGGCTTTCTCAGCCTTCAGCAGGATCAAGGCACGAAGTGCTTAGGACACCCCAAGTAGTTGCTGTAGTAAATAGTACTCGCTACTGTTGCTATTGCGCGGAAGCACAACACTCTAGACGGTAGTCTCCAGGAGGCCTGGGAAATTTAGAATTCAATTCTAAATTTTGAAAATTCTGACACACTTGGGGATTGAATCACGTATCTTTGCCTCCAGAACCCATGCACAACCACCGCGCTGTGGCATGATTGCTGTTGCCCATCGATAATACAAACACCATGTTTAGGCACAAGATTTCTTGATGTGGAGGGTTGGGAAATTTAGTTTTCGATTCTAAATTTCCTTGGTGAGGGAAAGCACCCAAAAAATTAAGAACTTGACCCGAAAACTAGGGTACCCTAAGGTTCTTAATATTGAGGCAACTTGAATCTGGTGAATTCCGCCTTGGGTAGGGGCTCAGGTTCTTAAACAGTGGGTTCTTATACAGTATTTTCACTGTACTATAAGTGTATTATGAGCTGAGCAATAGCAGCAGCGATACTATTCCACTATAGGATCCCCCAAACCCAAGTCTAGCTTTTCTGGCCTCAATAATGTACTTCGGGCCTTTCATTGCTTCGTACGAAGGGTCGTGCTAAGGCCCTTTTTAAAGAGTTTGGGCATCACTGCAGGCTTCCAAGCCGTGGCTATCAAACCCTGAAAAGCCTGAACAGTAATCCCTAAACGGCCCTCAACCCTAAATGTTTGAACCCGTCAACCCTGACCTTGCAGCCTTAAACCCACCAGGCCCTTCGCGACCTGTTACTGTCAGCGAAGATGCAGCCAGGCAGTGGCATCTACACATGGTACGAACTTATCCTGGGAACTATGCTCGGCTGCCTAATTCTGGCGTCGATCGTGGCTCAGCATGTTTTGGTACGGTTTAAGATTATTTAGGGTTTAGGCATGGGGGCAAGGGTTACTTGGTCAGGAGGGTTGGGTGCGTGTCTGAGAGAGAGAGGGAGACAGGCTTGCAGTCAGGGTTAAACTTTGGAGAGGCTTTAGGGTTTGAGCGCTCTAAGGATTCAGGAAGTCGATGGGCTTGTGTCTAAGGCGTTTGAGGGCTCGGATATTTCGGTGCGTGCAACACAGGATTGTTACTTGCGCGACAATTGATCTTTGGTTCTCGCTCTTTCTCTCCATCTGTCTCTTTCATCCTCGGTGTAACTCCGCTTCAGTTTGGGTAAGATTTCGCACGGGCAGCACCCCCATCCGATATACGCGCATGTCATGCTAATGTGAAATACCTTGCATGGCTCCACTCATGGATGCCCCTGTGCTTTCGGAGTATTGAGTCGGGACATCGACAGAGTCTGGACACTTATAGTTCCCTTATAATATGCTCCTCCCTCATAATATGCTCCTACTCTTTAGGAATTTGCCTTCGTGGTCCGTGTCTTTCTGAAACTACCATATGCCCTCGACAGCAAGTGCTGTAAGGTCCTCTTCCTGACAGAGAGCGCTGCGCTTTCCCATATCTTGGCAGCTTGGCAGAAGAAAATTTGGGCTTGAAATCTCTTTACTGGGTTCTCATAAAGGAACTTAGATTAATGTACTACAATAGGGATCTACAGTAAATAACAGGGCATGTGTCCTAAGCTGGCTCAAAGCGTGCCCCCTCCTGTACCTACGGCCCTGCAAGAGTTGAAGCGCGTAGATCCCAAATCCCAAGACCTGAACCTGAATCCTGATCCATACACAGCAATCCCGTAATCCGAAGCCCCTGAACCCTACACCTTATAATCCCCAAAAGCCCTAAACGCGACATCCTAAGCCTTAAATCCTAAATCCCCAACGCTACTAAGGAGAGCATACCGGCCTGGGCCATTCTTCTGGCATTGGGCGTCGTTGCCTTTCAGCCTCAAGGAGCAGGGCAAACCTGGCAAGAAGCCAAAACAGGGCGCCAAATAAGCACCTATACGTTAGAAGCTGCCCCCATTAGGGCCCTATTATATTCCTATGGTACCACTATTACAGGGTGGGGGCCCCTTTTAACCTCTACGATTTTGGGGTCCCTTATTATATATAACTTTTGTTTAATGGGCCCCAAAACCCTATTCGAATGATTAAGGCCCCTATATTATTGTTGTTATGATCACGCTTTTTTGTTGTTACTGTTTTACAGTTGGCATGATGACTATTGTCTTTATTGTTGCCATTGTCTTGGTTGTTGTTATTGCTACTTGAGTTGTACATCTAACACTATGGTTTTTAAGGTATGACACAGTTGTTCATGATTACTTGTCTTACCGAACTGCGGAGCATTTGTCACATCACAGTTAAGAGAGACTGCATGCCTCTCGCTTTCGGGAAGCCGAACCCCCTTCTGGCCAAAAGTAGCCCAAAACCCGAACCCCAAATTCCTGAGCTTCAAACTAACCTCCAAGCCTAAAACACGCCCAAAGTCCATCAGGCCCATCGTCATAATCCCCATGCCGTACTGAACCTGGAAATCCTTAAACCGCAAGCCATCCTTGACTCCTCGAACAGAAAATCAGGTACTCTCCGGTCTTTTCTGAGCCACAGCACCTGCACAGTGCCCCACGATGTGTGCTCCCCATGCGGGACGTAGGGTCGAGGGCTTCGGAGTTGGAGTTTAGAGTCTTATGACGGCCTAGGGGAATCGGAGGGGCTGGTCACGTCATGTCACGTCTCGATGACATAGTTCCCGAAATCAGGATTCCTTTGTGGACTCAGCAAAGTACCGGCAATACGTCGGCATCTTCTAGGAATGTCTGGCAGTTACGATGCTGACACGTCTTGTTTGATCGCCAATTGTGTTTAGAAGAGCGCTGTTTTCATGCACGTGTGCTCGTGCTACTGCTGCTGGGGCCAATGAAGCCAGCCTGTTGGCTGCGTTTCAGCGTTATCATGAGAGTGTCAAGAGATGTCAAGAGCTTACAAGACGGTGGGATTGAAGGTTGGTAGGAAATTCCCAATGACTGTCCCATTTATAGGGCATCCTTAACCCACCTACCCTTGTCAAACCTTTTGCTGTCCTCTGTAGTGTGACTACTTCTGAGGGGCTCACATCGTGCTGTTGACACAGAGGCCTTGACTGGCTGCACAGGTCAGGGGTCCGCATCCTTTCTTGAGCATCCAGGAGGATGGTGTAGCTTTCGATTCTTGCGCTTTCACCGTAGTGGGCTGCAGGTAAGGTCTCAGTTGTTAGTACGACTTCAACCTGCAAACTCTTAGCTTTAAACCCCTACCCCCAAAAAACCCTACCAGAATTTATAACCCCCTATCTTCAAACTGTAAACCCCTACCAAAAACCTTACCAGGATATATAATTAAACCCCTGCCAAAAACGCCTACCAGAATTTGTGACCTCCTATCTCCAACCGGGCCTTGCACCTTTGGACCTAAGCCGCTTCTGGGCTGTCGAAGCCATCAGATCCCCGCACCGCAACCCACCCCCCAAACAGATAAGAGAAAGGTCTAAACAAAACAAATAGCCATATTTGTATCACTTTAATGGTTTCATATATTCAGATACATGCATCCAAAACGAGTAGAACATGACAGCAAGATGAATGAGTCAACAATTACAATGTAGAAGCCCTAGGCGGACCTCCCGACTGAGTGTTCAAAGAAGCTCTGCACCTCGCGAACTCTCGTTGCATCGATTCGAAAAATGCTACGCCTGCAAAGTCTGTCGAATGCGGCTTTTGGGTTGAGGGTTCAGGGTTTTTAGGGCTTGGAGTGCTGGGCGCAGGGATTGGTGTTTAGGGCATGGGGCTTGGGTTCAGGGTTTTCGGTGTCGGGACACGTGCGATGTCTTTTGTTTTGAGCCCAAAAACTAGATTCAAGCTAGCTTGAGGGCCAGACGACAGTTCTTGTTACTGTCTTGCTTTCCCCCGACTTGCTCTGAATGTGAATGTCATGTTCTTTTTTGTTGAGGAATCGCCGGGGTTGGGCCTAGGGTTGATGATATAAATCCTGCATTACCCATAATAAGGAAGAGACCATACTTCCCATAGTTTAGGGTCCTTAAGCTAATGCAGGATTTGTATGGGTGGTTGTCAAAATTAGGGTCCTGTTTTGGGTACCCTAAATATTAGGTGCCGTACTATAACAAGGACCCTAAAAGGGACCCTCATTTTGACAACCACCCATATCATCCACCGTAGGGCGAGCATCTTCGTCTAGGGCCTTCTGCGGAAGCCTCGCCCTCGCTGTCTCCGCAGTGCCCAGGATGACGGATACTACAGGGGCCTCAATAATTTCGATTACTAGTTTGGGGTTTCTTACTATGGTTATAGTATAATGACACTAGTTTGGGGTTCCTTTTTATGGTTATAGTATAATGGGCCCAGTACTACCCTAAGGCCCCAAAGCAGTTCCATTTTGGGGCTCATATTTAGAAGCTTATGAGGGACTCCCAAAAGGGAGCTACTATGGGGCCTCTGGGTAGTTTGGGGTTCCTTGTTATGGTTATAGTATAATGGGCCCAGAGCCCCGTGCGCGTTTCTTACGCCTACTTCCCGTCGGCAACACGCCGGTATAAGACACAGCCCCCCAAAATCGCAACGCCTCCAAATCGCAAGGCCCCCAACTCCCAAAAGTTTCCAAAAATCCCAAATGGGAGCTTCCAAAAATGGCGGGTGCTTTGTTTTGGTGTCCTTACAGTAAGCATCCTACTATTTAGGGTACTATTTTAGGGTCCCCTACTTTCGGAAACTCCCAAATCCGTCAAAACCCCAACCCCCTGAAGCCCAAGAACCTCTAAGGCTCTACGTCCATCCACTGCCATCAAAGAGCTATCGCAGCTTTGCTTCGCTGCCCGGGCCTCGGCCGGGAGTTGGGTTTAGGGCCAGTTCCGGGTTAGAGATATGTCGTATGTATGCACATGTATGTCTATCTCTATTTCTCTGTATATTTTTTGTATATGTACCTATATACTGTCTAGGGTTCAGGGTTTATCAGGCGTGTATAGGAGACATGGGGCTAGTGTCTGTGGCACAAAACAGTTGCAATGGATAAATGCACATCCAAACCCCCTCCGCCCTCCAGAAGCCTTCAAAAAACCCTCCAAAGCCTTTTCAAAACCTATAGAGCTATTCTCAATAGTCAGCCTCCAGTATCAACCCGTCGGCCCTGAAGATCAGCACCCCTAAATCCTAAAAGCCCTAAATGCAAGACTCCAAACCCATAGGTCCTATGAACCCCTCCAAAAAACCGTAAACCCTACTAAAGCCCTAGCTATAGTCTCCTTTGGAAGTCTTTTTAGTTTGTTCATATATAACGCAGGGAATATTAACAATAGTATTCTTAATATGGTTCTAAGGGGGGTATAGCTAGACCCTAAATCAAACCCTATGGGGTCGGCTCTCGAAGGTCCGCGCCCTGCTGCGGCGAGGGCTTCTTTGCGGTGGTGGAGTCCGAAGGCAGAACCCATGCGCAGGCTCCAAGAGGGCTTTGGATTTGGATTCAGGGTTTAGGGTTTAGAGGGGTTTAGGGTTCAGGGTTTATAGGGTTTAGGGTTTATAGGGTTTTGGGTTTATAGGGTTTAGGGTTTATAGGGGTTTAGGGTCATAGTAGGATTTCGGGGTAGTTGACATTAAGGTGTTACGATTCTAAAGTTCGTAGGCCTTCTTGAAGGTGTTTGACGGATGCTTCGAAGCTCGGGGTTGGGGTTTGAGGTCTGAAGCTTGGGTTTACTGTCGGGGATTCGGGTTGGGATGTGGGGGTGCAGTGGTTGGTTTGGGCTATCGTCCGGTCTTAAGGGTTAGTTGATGAGGTCCTGAGATGTTTGGGTGGAGGGCTACGGGTTAACGGTCCTGAGGGTTGGGCATTCAACGGTTAGAATATTGGGGTTTGTGGCTTGATCTCAGGGTCAGCAGGAGGCGGAAATGACGGCACTCCTTGCATCCGCGAGAATCCGGTCAAACTGGGAGTAGAGATAGCCAAGTCGCTGCTGGAGATTGCAGAAGCAAAGCAAGCAACCTAGGCAATTCGTTGCTACCGGCGGCCATAGGAGATGAAGCGCAGCTTCGAAATTTTCGGAGCAGGCAAGTCTCGAGCCGCAACAATGTGGCCGTGATTACATGATGCCTGAGGATCTGCAAGCAGAAGCGAGCCGAAGCAGCAGGAAGGCCCGAAAGTGCAGCCGAAACATGAGCAAGCCGATGGTGCGCCGAGTTTGGGCACGATGCTCAGTAAATTTTGTTGGTTTCCATACGGAGCTCGGCTCGCCTACAGATCAATCAACAGCAAACCTTTCACAAGTCCGATCAGGGCCAGTAGACCCCTAGTCAAGCGGGCCCGAAACAAAAGCCCGAATACCCCAAGCTCTAAACGATACTCCTTTAATTCCCCGCTTACCTTTGGTTGGTAGGGAATGGAGGAATGGGGTACAATTATAGCTACTATTACTACCATTCTTCCATTCCCTACTAACCAAAGGTAAGCCCCAGATCCTAGCAGGTCTGCAGCCCTGCTTCTGTGGAGGGCTTTGGTACCGAAGGCGCTTTTGCCGCGGCCTTGTGTAGGAGGAGCTGAAGCATGGTTCGTTGATACGGGTTTGGGTTCATAGTCGTGCCAGTCCTGTCAGTATGATAATTTTCGAAGTTCAGAGCTTGGACAGTTCGGCTTGAATAGCCGCCTGAGGCAATTCGTTGACGTGGCTTGACATGGTTCAGGGCTTTTGCTTGCATGGTGTTGACTCTTTCTCTGGGGTAAAATGGAAGCTTGAACAATAAAATTCTAATGTTAGTTCCTTCTTATAACTATACTAGAAGGTACCCCACAACCCCATTCCAAGTATTGAGGCCCCGATCTTCAATGCAAATACCCAAGGGGCACCCCCGGGCCGAGGACGATACGAGCATAAGCATGGGTTTTGCAGTCCTTTTAGTATTCAACCTTGCCGCATTTGCACAGCTCTGAGTATGTTGGACTCGCTGCCGGTTCTGAAATCTATCCTGAACTTTCCTGAAGCCACCCACTAGACCCACTAGACCCTAAACCCTGAAAGCCTGAAGCGCTAAAGTCCGGCCTAAGCTTCAAATTCTTAAGCCCTAAACTCCTAAACCCCAATCCGTAGCGGCCACTGCTTTCGAACCGACCTTGCTTGTTTTCGAGACTGGGTAACGTACAAGCCTGAATAGTAGTGAATCGTATTTCTTAGGGTTCCGTATTGTAAGTAACGATCTTGTTCTAGTATCATGGGCCCCCAAAACTGGTGTTTTAGTTGTTCAGGCCCCTACACTACCCTTAGGCCTCAAAGTAGTTCCTTTTTGGGGGTTCATATTTAGAATCTTATGAGGTAATCCCAAAAAGGAACCACTATGGGGCCTCTGGGTAAGCCTGTGCGAGACCTGACCACTTCTAAGGATCTGCGGCATGACATCCCCTGCGCTCGTCACAGCTTGAAGCCACTGGGCTGCAGAATTTGCTTACCTTCGTTAGTAGGGAATGGAAGAATGGTAGTAATAGTAGTTATAATTGTACCCCATTCCTCCATTCCCTACTAACGAGAGGTAAGGAATTTGTTGTGTTGAGACGTGCTGGGATT